CATCTGTCGGATAACAGGTGGAAGAACAACATTAGCAACAACAACCACAACAACAACAACAACAACTACAACAACAACAACTAGAATAGCAACAAACACCACCACAACCTCCATCACAACCACAACAACACCACCATCAGCAACAACACAAACAAAAACAACAATAATAACAACAAAATCATCAACAATCTACAGTGTGATGACAAGAATGCTAAGAAAGAGATGTTGAGAGACATGTTCAATTTTTTTTTGCTTTACTGTAGATTTTACGACGTACAACACGTTGCCTGATACACACGATTCCAGCCAAAACTGCAAAGCATAATGGACGTCAAGAGATGGATGACTTCATATGGCCTGCTTACCTCCACACGACGGATGGAATGCGCTTCATGGCACGGAACTGCGCAACCTTTTCCAGCTCCTGATCTGTGATCCATACTGGCACGAGATGGTACTTGGGATAGGTTGGACAGAATCTGGAAAACGGAAACTTCGTGTAATGCAACAATGCTCATTAACGACCCATCTCCGACCACTAACGACCGAAGGCACCAGCTGATGTCGACGCTACAGTCTCTCTTGCATTTGCCTCTTCCATGTAGCGTACAAGCGTTACTATGACAACCTACACAAACTCAACATTATCACAAATTCCCCAGCTACATGACGAACGTTGCATGACGACAACCATTTACGGCAGCCGAGAAATAAATCGGCATTGTTGGGGCCACACGAGAGCTGTCCACAACCACCTAATGAGAGGCAAATTGCTTTTGTTACGTCCCATGACGTGATTATCATTTCCTCACATTCACACTTACAGGGTTTCTTCTAAGAGAAACTTAGGCAAAGAAGGTAATGGCCAGTTTGGGAAAAAACGCGCATGATGGATTCAAAGGCCTGTAGGTTGTAGGAAAAGTGTAGACCCCGTGTCACATGACCCAATAAACGCACATGGCAATCTAAATGTGCCAGAAGCACGTGGTGATCTATTTATTTTTGGGTTGACACTGTTTTGACAACAGCGGGTAAATACAGGAACATTTTCACAACAGCGATGTTAAATTTGACAACGGTGGTGCGCCATGTGCCTCTTATGTATAAGAAACCCTGACTTACTTGTAGTTAGTGTTCAGTTCACATATTCTCCACACTTCTCCGAGTCGAAATCCCATCCGCTCAATTTCCTTGAAGAAATCATATCCACCGTCTGAAAGTAAGCTTTGCATTAAACTCCTAAGCATAATCCATACCTGCATTTCACACTGCAGAGTAAACATAATTTAGCGTTTTATTTCTCATGAAGGTTACGTAAACTTAGACTATAGTTTTCGTTCCCAACACACATCGTTACGTTCTGTTCCCCCAAGGACACTCGATTCGTTAATTTATTCCAGAGGCGCGACTTCTAAAATAAAAAGACGAAATGCTCCATTTCACTTTTCACCCAAACGCTTACACCTCGCACGTTGCACATAACAGGCAATACGAGCTACAGAAGATTTCCTCTGCAGGCGTCCCCCCACAACCTAGCTCTGCCGAACACACACTACGTTACATGTGAGTGAGCACACAATGTCAGAGCGGACAGAAGGGGCCTGGGCTGATGGATCTAGCAATAAATGGGCCCTGGGCCGGAAGATTCCAACGTATGGCTACCTACGCCATGATCGATTAAGAAATAAAGGTTGCACACGTGTGCGCACTCACATCAGGGACAGAGTTGGTGCATGGACGCGTGCATTCAGGGCTTGAATTTCACGACAGCACTGGCGACATGGGCAGTGCTTGGCTGATATCCATAATAACAGGACTACCTAGGTTCATTACTAGACCTCTGTACTGTTTCCTATGAATCTCATGTAACATAAATATCCACGTTTCCCCTAAATCAAAAACGTTATTTAAAAGCAAGCGGCTTTGACAACCCTTCTTTTAAAGAAACCTTCACCTTGGTATATTCCTCCAAATTGCCCAGGTGCCATAAGGGTTCTGGCTAAACTCAAGGTAACACTTGCCTTTACATACAAAAATGTAAATTTGCCCCTACACGCCTATGCGTTGTGTGCAAGCTTGTCGAGATAGATACCTTGTGAGAAGGGCAGGCTGGTTGGCTCTACCTGATCCATACACCATGCATAGAATGCAAACGCGAAGCAGTCTTCGATCTTCTGCATTGGGTTTATGGCAAGCGACAGCCGCCGATGCCACTCCATGCAGTCCTCACGGTACCTCTCCTCAAAGCTACACCTACACACACAAGAACATCACACAGTCAGTCCCCGGACGATCAAATTAAATGATAGGTAAAAACTGTAGTAGAAACAGTATTAATGCAATACAAATTTACTCCTGATAGTATCCACTGTATTTTTTGGTACCCCGCAGCAGCACCAAAGTTGGGCTTACTGGTACTTATTTGCCAGGAAATTGGGTAAATTGCAGTGGGTCCATGTTGACTATACTAAAAGCACTATAAGTGATTGGACTGGAACTGGTTTTAAGATTTTTAATCGCAGGGTTACTTCCATTGAGGGGGGGGGCAAGCTGACACAGATAGCACCTACTAGCTAGATCAGCAGCCTCCCCTCCCCCTAATAAACTCCCCTCCCCAGCTCCTCCCCTCTAATAAACTAAGCCACTAATAATCTCACTGCAGCTTCATCAACATGTTTACGATCAGACCGTAATATGAAAAAAACCCACATCTTGATTACTCATCTCGAAAATTACCAGCAGGAGGAGAGCCAATGCAGTGCTGTACACACGTAACGAGAATTTATGAACACACACACACACACACACGCATCTGCAGGCAGCACACAAAACCACCTTTCTATCCAAGACTGACGTCCTTGGAAAAGCTGGTCACAGACGAGTGAAGCACACTGCGGCAGACAACACAAACAAGTGGAAGTCGCGCAGAAAACCACAAAGGAGATCGCGAACGTGCCTTCGGGGCTCAGTACCCTACATAAACGCATCTTAACTCTAACCTGGTGTACGTACTTACGCATCCTCAGTACCACACACATGCACCCTCACTCATCATGCTAGCATAGACACAGCGTCACCTTTGACAAGCTACACATACTATCTCGCTAACACACATGGTACAATAAACAGGGGTTACGCGTGAAAGTTCATCTTTAAGTTTAATCGGGCTCATAGGGTCTATGTCCCCCAGGGTACTGCCGGAACGTACCCTGGGTACGGTCCGGTATACCGGAACGTACCCTGGTAACTATCTGATATGGTTAGTGTTAGGGTTAGGGAGTAGGCGTAGGCGGCTCCCTAGACTCGTTAGTGGAGTAGGCGAGGTACGGTCCGGTATATTAGATAGTACCAGCAGAGCATATAAATCAACTTGATTTATATGCTCTGGTACCGTTCTGGCAGTACCCTGGGGGCCATAGACCCTCTCAGCTTTAATCGATGTTGAAGAGTATTGGTGACAGTCTGAGACGTACTAATAGTGGGCATTTCACTAGCTGCTCCGTCAGGATGTCAACTTACGTAACCAGTAGTGGGGTAACACCGAGTTGGATAACAACAAACCGTTGGGTGAAATGTTAAAATGATAACTCGTGCACGTACTCTATAAATTACGGCGTTTGTGTTATCACATCCAGTGAAAACAAAGGATGCTGAAAGTGCATAAGTGAGTTACTTGAACGAGTTATTATCCAGTAGATGCCACTAGTGAATAGCAAGTACGATTCCTGGCGAGTCGTATTGCTTGCCGTCCACCTGTACCGTCAGGTCCGTCAGCAGTCGTGATTTTGTCATGATTTTTATTTCCACTCAGACAGTGGCATCGATTCGCCTACGTGGCCCTGATTGGCTGTTGCTATGGCTCTAAACAAAGGTGCTGATTGGATTTCTGGTGCATTGTCCTTGATCTAAACGAGCAGCAAAATTCGTCATGGCACATCTGTGCCAATGCACAACACGAGATGTATCTGATTACTGAGCTTAACAGGTATATTCCTCACGGACTTTCCTCGATGAAGACGAGAGCAATAGCAAATATTACCATACATCAGTATTCCTTGCATTGCTCCCTGACAAAGACACACAGTACTGAGTACTACTGTAGTGTTGCCACGGCACAGGGTTGGCTGTTGTTAGATCTGTATAATGCATGATCTTGGATGTCTGTCTAAGTTACTCTGAGTCTTACTCAGCCACAAGTAACCATCTTGCTTATCGCTTTCAAGGCGACTGCTTGGCTACGAGGTTAAAGAAAATGTTACAATTATATTTTACGTTTTTGTAGCATTGTGGTGCATGAGCGCTATCACACTCCATGTAAGGCAGTGACGCTGAAGGGGTCAGTGTCGTATAGGGTAATACTAGAGCACTCGGAGAGCACAGACCTCCGCCAAGCCAGCTGAATTATCTCAATGTGAAATTTTTTATTAATTAATTAATTAAGTGGATCCGGATTAGTGCGAGCGTGCAGGTGGGGGAGGACTGTGGTTGCCCCTTAGCCTGTGGTTGCGTGTTTGTAAGTCTACAGCCAGCGCACCTAGCGGAAGTGAACTGAAACGTGCATGTTAACAAACCCACAAACACACAAACCAACACTCAAACACACGCCGGTGAAAACATAACCCCCGCCAAGCCCCTGGCGGAGGTAATAATGCTAGTCTAGGGAGTCGCCTACGCCTACTCCCTAACCATAACCCTAACCATATCAGATAGGTACATATATGTAGTACCCTATACGACAACGACCCTTCGTGCAGCAGTGACTGTTGTTCAATGCCTCACGATAAATGAGTGTGACATGTTAATCGTGGCAGCCAACAATGAACAGCTCGGGGATTCAGAGCTTCACCAGCTCCGACATTTTTATCACGCTGGCTGCAGCACGCAATGATGCAACGAGATTACACGCACACCAGACTTTTTCCGAATTGCTATTTGTTCGAGATTAAAAGCAGACTATGCGATAAAGCTGCTGAACGCCACCCAGCACTTACACTCATCAAACCCTCGAGCGAATCTTTATCACCCCCCCAACCTTGCCCTACGAAATATGTGGAGGAGTTTATCACCCCCCTTCCTGCTTCTACTGCTGTTAACACACCTGCGCACGCACGCACGCACAGACACGCACGCACGCACGCATGCGCACACACACACACACTGTCACACACACACAGACACACATGCACACACACACATGTACGCGCGCGTGCACGCGCGCACGCACACACACGCACGCACACACACACAGTCACACACACACATGCACGCGCGCACGCACGCACGCACACACACACTGTCACACACACGCACGCAAGCACGCACGCACGCACACACACACACACACACACACACACACACAGTACACATATGCGTACACACTTGCAGCGACACTACATCGTATTTCGCAGCTTATATACGGCACACCTTTTTTCTAAGAAGAAGCGCCTTGCATCCAATAAGCTGAAAGTTGGTGTGGCAGAGATTATGATTGCGATGATTATTAGCTATGGTACAGTATAGCCGCAATCATCACTACCGACGTCACTTCCATGTCACGCGGGTAAGTGAATCCTGGCTGGGTAGCTGAATCATTCGTTGATGGCTAGGTATACACACTGATATGCATGCTGCGTTAGTTAAAATAATGGTCAGTTTCCGAATCGCAATAAGATGTAGTTATCTGCCCACATTGCTACTGAGGCATTGATAAAATAGACAGCTTCCCTAGGTGGCTACAGTACAATCAACAGGATGACGCTCATCTAGAAGATGATGTGAATCCATCTTCTCGTGGAGGTATGTGCAGCATAATGAACATATGACATTGAAACTAGAACATAAATGTTTATTCTTGCTGATTATAAATAACAATAGGGTATTAGGGTGTGACTTGTTTTTAGCTAGATATATACTGTGTGAAGGAATTTAAAAATAATAAAGTTGAGTAGTCACAACAGTTGTTATATAAACACCCCAGTTCTATTAATTTGAGTTTTAATTAATTAATTAATTAATTTAAATATTAGTTCACTGGTTAATAAATGATTATTCAGAAATTTTATGAATTAATCAGGTAAATAATTTCTTGTATTTTCAGGTAGGCATGACACCTGCTTGACAAAGATTATTGACCTGGACCACCGTATAAACCAGCCCCATATATACTGTTAATACGCCAGCAAGATAAAGTTAGATAATCAGATTCAGAGTCCAGAAACGCTGTTTTCATGACAAGTACATTGGACGTGAAAATGCCGGTGAACGGACAAAATTGCACACAGGACTACCATGGATGTCATCAGGCTTGTCTGTGGTTAGTAGATTACTGTATGTAACGCTGACCTGCCCCACATTTACCCCTGGATGGAAGGTCATTACTCCTGGATCACAGGTTTTACTTTCTCTTGAGAAAGTGAGATTGAGCGTTCTTAGTCAAGATTTTGCATTAAGATTAAATGTGTTGACAAAAACGGTTTTGGATGCAAAGGGCTATCGGGCAAAAAGGCAAGAGAGAGAGAGAGTGTGTGCGTATAAGAGTGAGAGTATGAGTGAGAGTGAGAGAGAGAGAGCGAGATAGAGGAGAGAGAGAGAGAGAGAGCAGGAGAGAGAGAGAGAGAGAAAGAGAAAGAGAGAGAGGGAGGAGAGCGAGAGAAAGAGAGAGCGAGAGAGAAAAAGCGAGAGGGAGAAGGAGAGCGAGAGAGAGAGAGAGAGAAAGAGAGAGAGAGGGAGAGAGGGAGAGAGAAAGAGAGAGAGAGAGAGAGAGAGGGAGAGAGAGATACTGCAATTATTATTGCTGCAGCCATTCATTTGACCACATGCAGGCACCCTGCAAGTGCACCACACTTCCTCTGGCTCTTCATTCAGTAGATGAAGGACCTTTCTCATCATTATTCTGCGCCACCAGATTACAAGTAATTAAAACTCTGACAGTATCCGTCACGAGAAAAAACTCCCTACAGTCTGTGACTTGCTCACCGACAGAACTTTGCATCGTACGCAATCAGTGAGTTAGCCAGAGACCCATCTACCCGTCTTTTGGATGGCCTATACTTGGATGAGACGGATGAAATTTGATAGAGAAGGCATGAGGGTGGCCCAATTTTATATATTATACACCTTGTATAACTGATAACAGTGTTTATATAAGAATATAACATCATTTCAGATTCCTGTCTTTTTGGCATTTCAGACTAAATTTCCTCCATTTTGCGACCCTCGACGCCGCTAAGGCGTCGTGCCGCGCACAGCGGCGCCACCTGCCTACCTGATCGTGCGCGCATCCTTGCAGTAGATGAGCAGCTGGCAGAGGTCTCTGACGTCGACGTACTCCACTAGCTTGATCGGCATGTTCACGCACGAGTTGTCTGCGAACGAGCGAATGAAGAGCCGGTAGTTGGAGAGCGTGATGACGCCGTCGGCGGTGCGTCCGAGGAACTCGACGGCCTCCCCGCACAACACGGGATAGGGCACCTGCAGCGTCGGGTCGTCCGAGCGAAGGGAACAACATGGGAACAACTCGCTCGTCTGTATGTGCTCCACGCTGGGGCCCTCGCTGTCGTCCGCCCCCGAGTCCATCTACAAGCATGAAGAGCACGTTAGATCTACGCTCCACGCAGGCTTTATAACTGTTACACCCCCGAGTTCATCTACAAGCATGAAGAGCACGTTAGATCTACGCTCCCTGCAGGCTTTATAACTGTTCCACCCCCTCCCCGGCGCATCCACAAATTACCTAAAAACCACAGTCAAACAACTAGTGGCTCCACGAACATTATCAGAGGAATTTTACTACAGGGTGGGAGGTGCCACCTGTTATGCAGGGCTAATGAGCCTAATAAAGTTTCACACGCAATGCTAATTAATGTGAGTGCCTCTGTATATTAACTTGTGCTTGCGCACCTGCGCACTGAAATGCCTGAGACCACCTGGATAGGCTAAATATGGACAGTATACAAAAATAATTGTGGATGCTTAGTAAGG